AACAAGAGAACTACTTATCGATTGATGATGTAATGAAATATTGTGTGATAATGATATATGAAGCTTTAATTAAAAATATCAAATGGCCTGAACGACAAGTCATGGCAAAAATGGCAAACGGAACGTGTTAAAAGAATAGAATAATGGCACTAATGATTTTTTTGTCCATTTTCGATCGTACAAAATAGTATCTTAGAATATCAGTCCTTCTAGATCTTAGATTGAAACGAACTGAGAATGCATATGTAAATGTACGATAATGATATAGAAGTGCATACGTTTGTGCTATAAGTTATCGAGTTAATGTGCAATTTCTGTACTAGTTCATTACTTTGTAAATGATTGTGCTTGCTAGTTAGTCGGAGGATCTTTACTCCCTCTTAGGAGGAAATCAAGGAAAGCGACTCTCACTTTGTCAGTACTCTCGCCTGTTAGTCAGCGAGATGACGCGTAAAGAAGCACTTCCTGTGCCATCGTTCTTACACTTGTTAATATTCTGTGCCGCAATATTCGAAAGGAACGCTCTCGCATCTGTCGAAATCAACGAAGGTGCAGACGCCGCTGGGAAGAAAGGTGTCGACGGATGTGTCGAATGTGGCGATTACAGGTATTAAAAAGTTCACCTATTTTGATGCATGTTATTACACTTTTCAACATACGTTGAACATTCGTTCGCGTATATGGTACAATTTTAATATTAATTCTTCGACTTCTCTAACTGGAAGATCAGAAGTTCGAAAAACGTCGAAGATGAACTTTGATTATAAATCAGATCGATAATAATCTTTCTTATCCGCTTGTGTTTTTTGAAAATTTTCGCTCGTATACTGATATAACAGGTGTCCGGGCAACTCTGAGAAATGTTTACTGGGCTCTGTCCTCGATCCCTGCAAATGTTGCGCGAACGGTATATGCGCTCGATTAGATGGCGAATCCTGTTGGAACTCTAGCATTCCCGGATTGCCTTCCACACACCGTAACAATGGCCACTGTGCAAGAAATTACGAATGCAGATTAAGGACGGACCTCCGAGAGCAGGTACGTCAAAATTAAAATAAACCATTCGATTAATCTTCCCCTTTGAAAACAGAATTGAAGAAAGATGTTTAATTGAGAATCAATTAATCTTCATTTCCCTCCCTTGTTTGTGATTGAGAACAGAAATTCTATTCGAATGCGTTTCTCCTGAAAATCGATCATGACTGATATTTTTTTTTTTTTTTCAACGAATGAAATGACAAGCGGATCTTTAATTCTGCACACACAGGACGAGCCGCAAGCGATTTGCGTTTGCATGGAACAAACGCCGGCCTGTGGTAACGACAATAAAACGTACACAACGCCGTGTGCACTGCACGAAGAGGCAATGAGACGGAAAAGTTCGTCCTTTTTGACGTTGCAGCATCTTGGTCCGTGTCAAAGCCGCCCGTGGATTTTATCGCCGTTGGAGGATGTTTTGTCGGTGTTTGGCCAACGATTGGCGTTGAACTGCGAAGCGAAAGGCTTCCCTGTCCCGGAGATATTTTGGGAATTTCACGCGGCAGACGGGAGGACGGTGTTGAAATTACCAGGTAACTGTTACATATAAACAGTTTGATTAAATGTTAAACGCGAGCAAGTAATTCCACGATGTTCCAATGTCGACAGGCGAAGCACAGGGAGCGACGGTTCACAGCAGTCTCGGCCCCGAGCCTTTCATGCGGACGTCATGGATGCAATTACCTCGCCTCACTAAAGAGTACATTGGCATGTATCATTGCATCGCTAAAAACTCGTGGGGCGAAGCTAGTAGTACGTCTTTCGTTTCCATGTTGGAGCGCTAAATGTATGTTTCTTCTTCTCCTTTTTTTTTTTCTAATTTTTTTCCATTTCTTTTTTATACATGTGTATCACATTTTTGTAAAGGTTGAATAAAATTACAGGAAATACTTGTGGAAAATTAATTTTCACCACTCTACAGGGAGGAAATGATGTGTCAGTGACAAATTTTTCATAAGCGTTCA